TTGCAATTATACCTTTCAAATAACATTACAATAAAACTTGTAAGGTAATTAAGAAAAGTGTATATATGCGTTTTATTCTCTACTTACTAATTTAACGTTTGATTTTCATCTTTTAGATGGCTCTCTCTGCCAGTGCCTCAGTCTGAATCGCTGCTTCAGCAAATTCACAATGACCAAAACTTACCGCCTTGTGTTATATCGACCAATCAGAGCGTTTGTCAAGGCAGAATTTCAAAAACGACCAATCATATTAAACAGAGACATAGAGCATAATTTAAATAAATTGAAATTTTGAGTTCATTACACTTCAAATCTTAATTCAAAAGATTTTTGCTCCCAAATGAGTTAATTAAACATACCTGTTTAATTTTTGACTCCAAAACTTGGCATTTGAAGTAATGTTAAGTTATGATAACTTGATTTCTTTATTAATGACAACATTGGGGTTTACAGTGTACAGTCATCACAGCTGTGTGGCTCTAATCTCATTCTTCACAGCTGTCTTGCAAAAGACCAATCCCCTTACTCTCTCAGCATGACCATTACACACTCATTGGCTCTGCCTCAAAACCTAATGAGCTACCTAGACAGTATTTTTTGGACATGTTCAAATTGAAACTACCTACCTGGACAGGATTTTCGGACATTGAAATCAAGTTCAAGTGAATTCTGCCTACTTAAAGTTTTAGGTCATCATAAACAAATTTAAATTAAAGCTACCTACCTAGACAATGTTTTAAGCATCATAGACATGTCCAAACTGAAGCTACCTACCTAGAAAGCTTTTTTGGGCATCATTGACAAGTTCAATTGAAACTACCTACCTAGAGCGCATTTTTTTCGCACCATAGACATGTTCAAGTTGAATCTACGTACTTAGACAGCATTTTTGGGCATCATAGACAAGTTTATATTTAAGATACACAGGCCCGGTTTCACAAACGGGGCTTAGCTTAAGCCAGGACTAGGCCTTAGTTAAATTAAGATATTTAAGCAACTTTTACAAAAATGCCTTAAAAGAAAACATTACAGGTGTGCATCTTGACACAGAACAATGACACGGACATATTTTAAGATATGTCAGAGCAAGATATTTTCAGTTGAGACAGCTCAAACATGCATTTTAGTCTGGGACTAGCTTAAGCCTTGTCTGTGAAACCGGGGGACAATGTTTTTGGCCATCATAGACATGTTCAAATTGAAGCATTTCAGAGCTCCAGACTGCGACCAAATAGATAGTTTTCAAGCTAAAGTAAAGTAAAAGACCGCTTCTTAAACCAGAGAGGGTGAACATGTTGGTATTCTTGTGGGGAAAAAAACATGCAAGCACTGTCACCGATAGCAAGTTTAGTTTGACTTTTCTTTTTGTTTTCATTTTGAAAAGCTTGTTATCTTTGCTGTCTACCTCATGTTACGCTATGGAGGCTCTCATTTATTTATTTATTTTTATTTTTATTTGATTCCTCAAGGTTTGCTAAACGTTCTGTAATTTATTAGACTGTATATAATACAGCATGTGGTGTATGCCATGCCTCATCTTATTCGTTTTTGTTAATAAACGTTTTGTAAGCTAGTTTGTCATTGTATCTTACTGTTTTATTGTTGTTGTGCTTTTTAATTAAGAATAACAATGAATCCATCTTTTGTTTTAGTCTTAAAAAGTGAAAGGTGTGTAGATGTATGTTAGCAAAACAGACAATTATCTTTTCTTGTAAAACGTGAGAAGATCGCGAATTCGAAAGTGAAAGCACCTGAAGCCTTGTTAGGGTTAGGGTTAGGGTTTGCTTATAACACAGCAAAAGAGGTACTCCTGTTCACAAAATTCAAATCACAAATAATACTACTGATGAAAAAGAATGAGTTGAATGTTAACCGCTTTCGTTTCCATATAACTATAAACTGATAAACGTTCATCAGCATGCATTGATTAATCCCATGTTGTAGCGCAAAAAATAAAATAAAATAAATATTGCGATCAAATCATGTGCTCGTGCGACCAACTGAGAAAGTTAGTCGCAAAAGAGCGACCAGTGGGAAGAATGAGTCTGGAGCCCTGCATTTCTTGAGCATTATGTACGGTGGCCCAGTAGTGCACAACACAATGAAAATCAAAAAAGCAAATACAAGTTAACAACAACGCGGAATCAAGCCACAGCACAATAGAAAAGACAACACAACGGAAATGCTCCCGCTCTCTTTCTTGACCACTATAGAAGATGTGTTAAAGCTATAAGTATAAGCTATATTATACCAGAGGTAACGGTCTAACGAATTCCAAATTTTGGACATTTTACTGTTTACTGTCCATTGTGTTGCGGCTTGTTTCTGTTGTGTTGTGCTAATTTCATTGTGTTGTGACTTGTTTCCATTGTGTTGTGCCAATTTTGTTGTGTTGTGCTGATTTTGTTGTGTTGTGCACTACTGTTCCACCGTAATTATGGGTGCTTGAAAGTCTGCTATTTTCTGTTCAGCACACATTACATCACTCTCCTCCTCTCTCATCAACAGACAAACATGTTTACACAATGCCATCCTGCTCATCATCTGACCCCGAGAGGTCAACATATCACAGAACCCGCGGGTCCTTATTAAATGCATTTTCCTTAAGGCTTTGCTCTTTAATTATTCAGTGTTTTCTGTTCAGTGGTGTTTAAGATGAAATGCTAGTTTCTTTCTCACATGTGATTGGCAGTGATGGTGAAAAATTAAGCGTGGACTAATGTGTTCCCACTGCTGTAGTCCAATAGAATGCTTCATACTCTGTGTCAGTTCTTTGCTCGTTCAAACTGGTGTTTTTGGACATGGTTTTCTGCATGCATGTACTTGGGTGTGATGATAAATTGTGATGATGATGATTTTCAGCTCGACGAGAAGATGAGGACCTGGAGGGGAAGAAATGCATCAAAAAGAGGGTCAAAGAACTGAAAGTGCTGGACCCAAAGATAGCACAGAACCTCTGTAAGTATTATCCAGTAATCTTTTTCCACACCATTTAGATTTTTGTTTTTGTTTAATGTTATTTTACTTAATTTTGTTTTATTTGGTTTGGTAAACAAGGTTTTTTGTTTTATTTATTTATTTATTTGTTTATTTATTTATTGCAAAGTTTTGTTTTGTTTGTTTTTGTTGTTTTAGTTTATTTTAATTTTTTAAATTTTAAACATTAGCTAGGTTAAAGGGGGTCAACAAACTTGCGCTTCTGTCTCAAAAATGTAACAGTCATGGCATGAGATACACACAAAATACAGCAAGATCCAATAACACCGATGTGACCCATGCACATAGACCAGGGTTCCTCAATTAGTTTTCGCCGAGGGCCAGTGGTGGAAAGAGTACTGAAAAAATATACTCAAGTAAAAGTACCATTACCTTCCAAAAAATGTAGTGTGAGTAGAGTAAAAGTACTTGTCCAAAAAACTACTTGAGTAAAAGAGTAGCCTATTTAAAAGTACTCATGAGTATTGAGTAGTGAGTACTGAGCTGTGGATTCTACCCCCTCATAATAAATGCGGTACACCGCAATTGATACCTTTTTAAAATGTTGTACATTCTGTAATTCACATTATCTTGTTTGTCATAAAGAATGAAGAATATCTATCATCCAGCAATTTTAATTTTGACTGCCAACTCTTTAAAGGGGTCATATGATGCGATTTCAATTTTTCCTTTCTCTTTGGAGTGTTACAAGCTCTTGGTGCAATAAAGCAGATCTGTAAAGTTGCAAAGACTAAAGTTTCAAATCCAAAGAGATATTCTTTATAAAAGTTAAGAGTCA